ATTGTAGGCCTATCTCAAAATCTAGATACAGTACAGCAAAAGCATATTCATGAGTTTGGCAATAACCTATTGAAGTATACACATAAGATTTAATTGCTCTCAGAGCCTGAAGGTGATGGGTATTGGGGAGAAGTAAGATGACTATCATCTCTTATTCCAGCTCAGCAAAGGCTAGTTGCATAGCATACTGCATAATAACATGTGTTCTACTCATTATATCATGTGACGCTAACCCACCAATCAAAGCAGTTTGTGAGACTTCAGGGACAAATTAAAGTACTGTATTAAAAATTATATTTCCATCACAATAGATAATGGATGCTAATTTCAAATTATGGCTGTGGTCATATTATACTAATGTTATTTTGATATTCGATATAATCATAATGAATTAGCTAGATAGTTCTCTCTAAAAAGCATTTCTTCAGAATTTGTGTTTTTAAGTACTACTCGACCATTATTTATACATTTATTTGCCTTTATTTTAAGTATTATTTCATTTCATCCAACATCATACAGTATATGACAGTAGCAGGATGCATTTACCACATTATAAATAAATTTCCCACTGAATGAGCACTCCTACAACTAGAAATTGCAAATTGCAAGTGAAGTGCTGCAAAGTACAACTGCATACTGTATAAATGTTCCTCCAACAAAATTATTTGTGCGAGTCAAGTGAAAATAATGAATAATAAAAATATAACAAATAATATGAGACATGACCCATTGTCTATATTAGAACACTGACGAGCTGACGTAGAAACATAGTAAAAACGAGCGTTGGTACTGTGTATGCCACTCTACAACAAGCGTCGCCTAAATGTCATAATTAGCACGCTGAAATAGGCTAATAAATAAGTTTAACTGGGTTCATAAATAATATTGGCCTCAAAATATTTTGGCTGAGACATGGGCCGATTAAACGTAGAAATAGGAAACCTAGAAATATAGTAAAAACGCTGAATAGTAATACTCGAGCGTTGCCACATGCGGACGTTGGTACGTGTAGGTTATCTACAAACGTCGCCTAAAGTAATTGATTTTAACCGGCAGAACAAAAGAAGGAAACTCCGCTTTTCAGTCGTCTTAGGCCCTTGTTTTTTGACAAACAATGACCTTTCTTCGCAGCAAATACACAACACTCAGAACCCTTCGAATAATAAATGCACTGAATGAATGGTACACAAGACAAACATACTCACAAGGTGGCGCTCTACAAACCAAATGTCTCATCATGAGGTTTAGAGTGGATATGTTTTTTTTGGACATGAGAAAAAAATGCAAGCATTCTTAATTACCATTCTACAGCTCCACTTCTATGTTTTTGCCAGATGAACTAAGGAGTCGTTCAACATTATCAACATTTTCACAGTTGTACAAACAATACACTTGGGGGGGCGGGGGAGGGTAGACAAATTTGTACACCTACATAAATGCATAAAAATGTTGATTCAAAATAACATGCAATATGTAAAATAATGGTGAAATTACAATGTAACCATGGATATAATAATAATTTTTAAGCAACCAAATGCATTACTTTAGTTGACTTCACAAAAAACATGGAGAATGTTTTGCAAAATCAACATTTTTTATACACTTTCAGAGGGGAGGGAGGGGCTACTGAAAAAGAGTACTGTTTGTACACTTGTGAAAACATGTTGATAATCGTCCCCTCAACAACCTTAATTTTGATAAGAAAGTAATTGATGCATGATATAATAATTCCTTCCAAAAGCCACCTGTGTATCCAACACACTTTTCCTCATTTTCTAGATTTTTCCTTCATGTGTTTCCTTGGTTTTCCTCATTTATTTAACTAATAATTCAGGGCCATATCTGAGATTGCCATTGAGAGTGTGCAGGGTTGTGCAATAGTAGGTCAACTGGGGTCAGACGGCAGAGGCGGTTTGATTGCAGCCTCGATTTTTCATTACTACTGTATCGCAAATTTTAGGTGGGGTTGCACACTGTATAAGGAATTTTATAATTATGCATTCTCAACTGTCGTAAAAATGTCAATCTTTCTGATTTTGGGGTGGGGGGTTCACACTGTTCACACCCATCGCATACCCCTTGGATATGGTTCTGTGATATTTACACAATAACCCATAGCCTTAGTATAATAACTAAGCACTTATGCACATCATCTGTATAGAAACCTATTTGGGCCAGAGAAATGTATTGTATAACATCCTCCCCTCGCTGGGGACTATTCCTAATAATGTGTAGCTCACAGATCACCAGACCAATTACATTTCAAATCATTTTTGTCCTGAGAGATACCCATTTATTATACTTCTGGGCGAAGAGAGACAGACAACCCCTCATAAAAAATCTTGCCCAAGGACATAGGCAACATGACTATAGATTTTATTCATACTAAAGGTCTTGTACATTATCTGTCATTTATGTATTTATTCATAAGGTGTGTCTGGATATGATATTCAGAAAGTCTCACAGTATCATTTTAAAAGTGATGTAATAAAGGCTGTTGTGATGAGATTTTGTTGAGGAAGGGTACCTCAGGGTTTTCGAAAGCACCCCACAGGATAATCTTAATTGCAGTATCAAACCACATGATTCTCAGTACATGAAATGTATCTGTTGTATTCGGTATCCTAATTTGAGTAACATGAAATTATATTATACAAAAGTACTATATAAACATATAATTATATTTTCTGTTTTATTAGATAGGCAATGTGGTACTTCATTCATAGTACAGTATTTAAGCCTTTCAGTTAAACAGTTTATATTTTGGAAAAATCTATTTTCAAAATAATTTTCATCATCATCATAGTTAGCTTGCCGGCCCATTGCAGGATAAAAGCCTTTAGCATGCCGTCTCCGAACTTGTGACTGGCTCTGACAAACCCCTCATTTGCCACAATTTTTATTTCCCGCAAGAACCCAAAACGTTCGAGAATTAGGATTTGGAACTTCCATGTTTTTTTTACATTTATAGAATAAGATATATTGAAGAAATTTATGCAAAATATCAATCACCAAATCTAAGTGAAAAGTATATTAAAATTATTTTAAAAATACAAATCTTAATAATAAACAATTAATTATAGAATCTTTTGAAGCGGTTTTCTCTCAAAACCTACATGGCTGTATTCATCATAACTAATTAATATTCAACTAATTTCCATCAAATAGACACTGTTTTAAAGAATTCATGCAGAATCCAAAAATACCAAAAACTCAATTTTGAATTTTTCCAGAGCTAGTCACATTTTGTCTATTTATTGCTTTGCTACACCAGCTCACACCACCCCAGTACTAATTTAATTCATCTTCATCTCTATTTTTAGATGTTATGTAATGAACTTTTCGTTTACATCTAGTAACTCAAGGTTGTCTGCAGTTACACATATTGCTTAAACCAAGCCTATAAATTATTATTAAATAACAAGTTTAATAACCAACATTATCTGGTGCAATACCATACAAGAGGAAATAGTTTAACCAGCTGTGGTATATTCCATGTAGGAGTTGATTAATTAACCAATTAATTGATAGTAATTGTTATTGTCGTGATGTAATAATAGACAATAACTGGATTTGCGTCAGGAGAAACATGTTTAGGTGTAATTTTGCCCTACCTGACTTGGAAATGTACCGAATACTCAGTACATTTGAAAACAATTGCGAAAAAAAATCACAAGTTGTTGTCGGGTGGGACTCGAACCCACGATCTCCAGATCACTAGCCTGGCAGCATACCTCTAGACCACCGAGCTTGCGCCAAGTCAGGTAGGGAAAAATTACACCTATAACCAATTAATTGATATCATCTTGATAAGCATGTCAAGAACACTTTTAGAATGAAGTACCTAATTCAGACACTACACAGATTATTATGAAAATTCTCCGCGTGATGTGAGTAGAGAGTGTCGTTGCCATGGATCTAACGTGTTGGTCAACTCTCCAAGGCTGTTGATATAATTTCCCTTGCATTTCAATGTGCTAGTGATATTAAAAAATTTTCTTTCAATCGAAAATGATTTCAATTACTATATGGAATCTGGTTTAGTATTCAAGTATTAGGGATGATAGAGCTGTCTGGAAAAATATTATTTATATTTGGGGATAAGATAGTAGTATAGTATTACTATATTGTAAGAAAAGATCCAATTGAGGGTGAATGTATGGCTTGGGGTATGAATACATGAGAAATATTTGTCTGGGATTATATTTCAAAGCTTATGTAGGTCTGGGGTTGATTTCATAGTAGTACAGTATTGAAATTGGTGGAAGAATGCAATGTACATTGACCTTATTTCTGGGTCATTCTGATAAGAACCACAGCAGGTACGAGTAAAGGAGAAAGGGGTTTAGGGGATTGTCTCTGGTGTATTGACAAGGGTACGATATTACACCATGGCTGCTAAGCTTCTCCAAGGGCACAATCCAT